CAGTTGTTTATGAAGAAATAGATTTATAAATTTATTGTCTTCTATGAATATGTTAGAAATCGTTTGCTTATAGACTTATAGTCTAAATCTATAGTATTGATCGGAGATTAACAAATTCGTAAACTATGTTTTTTAAATATCCTCGCGAGCATATAGATTGAAAGAACTAATAAGATATATAATATAATTTAAGAATGAAATTAATACCAAGAGATCATTTTAGTATTCTCCTAGTGCATGACATTCTAATTGATTGTTATTTTCTTTAAACATAAGAGCTCTAGGAGTTCTCTTTTTCTATATCTCTTCATACAAGACAGGGATTAATTAAGACACCTAGTGATTATGAAAATTAGAGAAACAACACACATCGACTAACACAACAAACCATTAAAACTTAAAACAAAAATCGTTATAATTACTAATGAAAGAGAACTATACATTGAAATATCTAAATTTAAGAACTCGAACCATTCACAGGAGCTGGGTCAGTTGAACCAAAGGCTTTAATGAGCAATCTGAAGGTTAGAGTGATGAGACACTGAATAATGCCGTTAACTATGGTTGAGAAGATAATACTAATTTGTTGTCTTTAAACTTTAATAATCTTCTTCCTTTTTTGTTTTTTTCTATAATTTTATTTAGACTTTGACTATTAGTCATCTCATAAGTTATCAAAAACATAACATAGAAAAGATGGTTTACTATCCAATGAGTTTTTTTTTTTAATTATAATCTAATAACTACATATTGTTATGATGTGAATAGTGGTTGTTAGCATGGTTCTATTCTTTCGAAAAAGAAAAAACCAATTTTCAAAAAAACCATGAAACTTTCTTCCGTAAGAAAAAACACCATTAAACTATTTTCTAGGTTTATATTTCTAAAGAAACAATTACTTTGGATTAAAAGCTATGAAATGTTTTAGCCAACACTTGTCTCGTGACCGTGGTGCCCAATTTTCCACGACCGTTAAAATCAACAATATAAACATTATGTCATGTATGTAACGAACTGATGTACGCACGTTTCACCAAATTAGTTAATTGTACCTTAAGAACTTAAACAAAATCGTAAAATGACTTGAAAATATGCATATATATATATACATGCATGAGTGAGTTTATACGTTTTAGACAATCACAAAAAATAACATGGCCGTGCAAAGAGAAATCTCACTATTACCAACCATGTCTCAGCTCCTCTGATTTCTCTTCACATTTTTCCTTTTTTTTTTCTTTGCCATCGCAGAAACACGAAGGAGCTCCAACGGTGAAAGTATTCACTTGATGCCTTTTCCAAAATTTATATGGACCTATAGCTGAGCTTGGAAGATTTCACCACAGTGGTTATATCTTCGCAAGAAGTAGTTAAAGAGGCACTTACAACAGATGACCATGCCTTGTCAGCTCAGACATTTAACAATCTGGTTTGAACCTTCGATCATTCTTTTGTTTGCTTTCCTCCGTCAGCTAGTTTTAATACCCATACTTATTAGTTTTAATTGTGGCAAATGTTTTTATCTATTTATAATATTATTAATGTTCTATCTCCTTCTTCCGATGGATTCTTCTCTTCTTCTTAAAAAAAAACATTAAACAAATCATGTACCTACAAAACAAAGGCTCCACATATCCAAATTTGAATCCAACAAACTAAAAAGAGAAAGCAATAAAAAAAAAACTATGAAAACTAACCATACCATTTTTTTAAAGATGGAGTCTTCTTTTCGAAGC